TAGGTAATTTTGCATGTTTAAAAAAGGGAGAAGAACCTTTCTTGTCCCTTTGTGTGTCTAAGACACCATTCCAATCACCCATTAATACCACGGATCTATAGTCCAGCAAAGTTATTTTTTGATGTAACAACCTATAAAATTGTTCCTGTTGCTGATTTGGTGCATAAAGTCCCACTATAAGTACTTTCTTACCATATAAGCCAAGTTCAATCATCACATATCTTCCTTGGGGATCCGATTCTACCAGACAAGCTGGTAGATTTTGCTTCACGTAGATAACAACTCCCCCCTTTTTCCCCGGAGCAGAAGATACAAAATGAGATCCCAAACGAGCATTAACTAAATATTTCTGATCCTTAAGTAAAATATGAGTTTCCTGTAAACAAATAACATCATTGTTATGTTGCTTCAAATAATAGAAGATTTTTTTCCTTTTCTGAGGAGAATTCAATCCGTTAACATTCCAGGTCAGAAACTTTGCCATCTCCCTTAGCCAGGAGCCCGGAGAAGACACCTTGGAGATCTGCCATTGCTGCATGTGTTGCATAACTCTTGGGTCTTGCTCCTCCCACCGGCAATGATGCACTTTCAGAAGAAGCTTCTTTAGTCTCTTTCTTACGTTGCTCCTTCTCTTTGCGTCTATAAGCTGCACGGGTCATTCTCTGCTCTTTAACCTCCGTTTGACGTTGCCATTCAGCTTGCAGCATCCCAGCAGAGACCAAACCTAATGCCTCAGATTGCTGCTCCGACTCTTTGCCACTCAAAGACTTCTGAACAGGTGGAGCTGAGCCTGCACCCAGGACCGTATTGTAAAACTCTCTGGCTTTGTCAACCGTATTCAATCTATAACGTGTCCCCGCATGGCTCAAAACAATACCCATCGGGATTTCCCATCTGAATGGCATCAATCTGGTTTTAAGCTCATTAGCCAGAAAAGAAAAATCTTTCCTGTTTCTTAAAATCTTTGATGGGATTTCCTTTAAGATAATAATATCTTGAGTAGCAATCTGGAATCTCTTATTATAAAAAGTTTGTACAATTTCATTACGCAGAGACTTCTTTGTAAAATAAATCACCACATCTCTGGGCAAGTTCTTCTGCTTCGCAATCCAAGAATTGACTCTATAAATTTTTTCAACTTCTCTGCGTAACTCTCCTTTATCCATATTCAGAGCAACAGCTAAGTCAGTAAGCACCATCTCCATCAAATCTTGATTCATATCTTCCTTGAGGCCTCTAATCCTCAAGGCATACTCCATCTGTCTATACTGAAACATAAGCATATCTTCTTGTGAAGTCTCCACCTTCCTTTCCACATCTTGAATTTTGTCATCAAAAGAGTCAACTTTATCTTCCACTTCCTCCAATCTTGCATCCAGTTTCACTACCACCGTAGCCAAGCCTGATACTGCTGCAACTATATCTTGTCGCAAGATGGTATTATTAGCTTCTAATAAGCCCTTTATCCCACTTATCTCTTCTTTAATGTCAGATTTAATATCAGATTTAATCTGCATAACAAATTGCTTCATTTCATCTCTCATTTGAGACATAGCATCCCCCATTATCCCTTTAACCTCTTGTGCTGACAGGCCTGGCAGAGGAGGAGAAGGTGGTGGCTGAGCCGGTGGTACATGTTTAGGTTGTTGTTGTGGTTGTGCAGCAAGAGCTGTAGGAGAAGAAACCACCTTAGGTGTTGTCAAAGGCAGCTGTCTCTTTGAAGCCATTTTATGTGACACTGTTCTCACTTCCCTTCTCCCCAAAGAAGGGGGAGGAGGAAAGGATTTTTTTCAAAAAAACAGCATCAACATAGTCCTTAAAAAAATCCAAAGAAGAAAAAAAGAAAAAAGTCAAAAGAAAAATCCAAAAGCAAAAATATCAAAAGCAAAATCATTAAAATCCAATCCTTTAAAAATAAAGAAAAACTAAAGAAGGAAAAAAAAAACTCCGACACTTTCAAAACGCCATCTTAATTCCTCTCTCCGTACCAAAAAAAAAAAGAACAAAGGAGAAATAACCAAAACTAACCAAAACTAACTAAAAGAAAAAAAAATAAAACCCTAAATTATAAAAAAAGAAGCCTTTAATCCGCTCCGTCCGTTTTAAAAGTTACTCACCAAGACGCTATACTCACGGAGATAGAGGTGGCGGTTTCTTTTGCTTCAAAGGAAGCAAAAACAGCTGGGAGGCGGAGATCAGCAGGAGCTCCGAGGGAACACTCCTTTCACCCCCTCTAGGAATAAATCCAGAGGGGATGAAGGGGTTCTACCTCTACCCCTGCGTTCTCTATCCCTTCCCTTTGCCCGGGAAGGGATTTGCGAACCGCGGGCCAGCTGATACGCGCTGGGCTCCGCGATTCCGACACCTTCCCAGCTGGACGGCTAAGAATTAGCCGCCATCGCCGTCGCCCCGTACCGGAAGCTCCTTTCCACTGATTAATTGTTCTGTCAGGGAATTTCTCCTTATTTTTAGGTTGGTTCTCTCCTTAATTAGTTTCCCATCCTTTGCTTCTTGTCTTGCCTTCTGCTGCTTTGGATAATAGGTTGTTCCCTCCCCCCCTTCTTGTGGAAGCTCCTCAGACATTGGAACGTTCCTATCACGTCACCTCTAATCCTTCTTTTCACTAGACTAGACATACCCAACTCCTTCTTCAGATGTTTTAGCTTCCAGCCCCCTCATCATCTCTGTTGTTCTTCTCTGCATTCTTTCCAAAGTCTCAACACTTTTTTTTTGTATTGTGGTGATCAAAACTGGATGCAATATTCCAAGTGTGGTTTTACCAAGGCCTTATGAAGTGGTATTAACACCTCCTGTGATCTTGATTCTGTCCCTCTGTTGATGGGGCTAGAACTGTGTTGGCTTTTTTGGTGGCTGCAGCACATTGCTGGCTCATATTTAAGTGATTGTTCACTAGGACTCCTAGATCCCTTTCATAGTTACTGCTGTTGATCAAGGTACCACCTATTCTGTATCTAGATTATGAAGATATTGAAGAGTACTGGGGTTAAAACGGAACCTTGGGGTACCCCACTGCATACTTCCCTCTATGTAGTGTGGTTCCATTGAGGACTACATGTTGAATGAATCAGTTGTGAATCCATCTGGTGATGCTGTCTATCCCACATTTTTCTTTTACCAAGAAGTAGGTTGTGGTTTACTTTGTTGAATGCCTTACTGAAGTCTGAGTATACTATGTCCACAGCATTTCAGTGGTCCATTAATTTAGTCACTTTGTCAAAGAATGCAATAAGATTGCGATGATCTGTTTTTGACAAACCCATGTTAGCTTCTTGTTATAACTTTATATGAGGTTGAAAACAACTCCACTTTTGCAATTGATGCAGAATGCAACAATCTCATCTACAAAGAGGGATAGTTCTAGGTGCATTATTAACATATCTTGCAGATGCTGCATTGGTTGCAAATGACTTCAGGGCTCAATTCAAGGTTCTGGTTTTAACCTATAAGTAGTCCTCAACTTATAATGGCAATTGGGACTGGAATTTCTGCTACTAAGTAATGCAATCATAAAGCACGACTACATCACTTAGCAACAGCAATCCCTGCCATCCTGGCTGTTATCATTAACAAAATCCTGCTATTGTTAGGCAAGGCAATTTTCTGCCAGCTTCTATAACTGAATCAGTGGGCAAGCCAGCAGAAAGTTGCAAGTCCCAGGCTGGCACGACGGTAAATGATTGCTGCTAGGTGGGAGAGGGAACATGGGGGAGAGTGAGAGGTGCAGCGTGGGTTGGAGAGGATATGCAAGGGTGCGTGTGAGAGGCCTTTGTCAATGAGGGTGTGGCACAAGTCAGGGTGGGTGGGGGTGTCTGAGTGGCTAGTGTGCAAGCATAGAGGGGCTGGGAGAATGTGCAGGTGGGGGAGACTTACCCCGGTGACTTGCAACCTTCCCTGCTGACTTCCCCATTGACTTTTTGCAGAAGCCAGCAGGCAATGTTGCAAACTACTATTGTAGGACACTATAGCTGGTCATAAGTAGGAACTGGTTGCTAAACGCCCAAATCACAATCAAATGGATACTGAACTGTCAGAACTCCAAGGACCAGTCATAATGTTCAATGCCATTGTAATTTCAAATGGTTGCTTAATAAATAGTGATAGATTGAGGACTACCTTATGGTCCATAACCACAAAATGGTCTCTCTCTCTCCTCCAGATTTAGCCCAGAATGTCCCCTTTCCAAATGAGATGAAAGATATGGGGTAGCTTGTACTCAAACGTACTCCTTGCTGGGGGTACATTTGATGTTATGGAATACCTTGCCTTTAGGGGCATGGTTAATTACCATCTTATTCGCTTGTTTAGAGGTGGGGGTATTGAACTTGTTTTTATCTTATTTTGTCATATTTTAAATAAAGGTGGATATATATAAACGCTTCGGTTAACAAATACACAAAAATATTTATTCAGTTCCTAGAAGGATGACAGCAAGTTTGGCCAACTAGCTGCCCTCTATGAAGATTACACTATAAATTAATTTCCACCTAATTAGCTGAATAAATAAAAAATAGCCTAAAATAACTTTCCCCAATGCGATATATCCCAAGTATGTTAGTTTAGCTCCCATAATACTTTCCCCTAAGGAGGGTATTTGATCTTGCTGTTCATCTTGGTTGCCTTATTTATAGCTCCATCATGTCCTTTTTCCAATGTGGTGCCTAGAATCTTGTAAGGACACTCTACACTATACAAATAAGTAGGAAGCAAGAGAAGAGAAGGGACTCTCTTTACCCTGGAACTTTATGAGTTCCTAAATGTGGATTTATTTACCAAGGCTTGCCAACAGTTGACAATAGGTTTAGCCCATTGTGTGCTAGAAATTGAGTGTTCTGCTCATCTCATGATAATTAATCTTAATGTAGCTCCCTCTGCTTATTTTTCGTTGCCTTGAATCTATAGCTAGTGTTTTCATTTCTCTCACTGCAGTTGTTGCTAGAACTTTTTCCTAACTTGCATCATTGCATTGTTTTAATCTGCAGTTATTGCATCCACGGTGCAGCTTCTCACTGAGTCTGTCCACAGTCAGCTAGTCGATGAAAACAGGTTCCTTAATTGTTGCATCTGCTGTGCCGTGGTTGGGAATGGAGGAATTTTGAATGGGTCTCGCCAAGGGAAGAAGATAGATGCTCATGACTTTGTCTTCAGGTACAAGGAAGTTAGCAATCCTCTTCCTTTGAAAAGGGCAAAGGCTCCATTTCCGAGTGGTTATGGAGATTAAAAAAACCCCACAAGATCCATGCTCTTAAACTTTCAGAATAAAATCTCGGATATTTGAGTTATTTACTTGTGCTTTGTTGACAACATTACATTCCTCAGGCTTTGCTTCTATTGTTCCTTACAGGCTTAATGGGGCAGTCACCAAAGGTTTTGAGGAAGATGTTGGGACTAAGACTTCCTTCTATGGCTTTACAGTGAACACTATGAAGAATTCCCTTGTTGCTTATGCAGAATATGGCTTCAAACAAATCCCACAGGGAAAAGTAAAAGCACAACTACGTTCTTTTTTTTCAGCTGTTGGGTTGGACTAAAATACTACTAAGTTTAATCACATTTGCTTTAATAGGGGTGGCTGGTTTTGCAGATTGTTGCCAGCAGAATACTTTTCAGGTTGAAGGTTGAAGGCAGAACAAATGCTTTATTATTATTTCCAGCTTCACTTTTTAAAAACCTTGTATGATCTTCAGGTATGGTGGGCTTGATGCTAAAACAGCATCAATACAAAGATTTCCTGAATTAAGCATTGGTGAAGGCTTTCAAAAGCAATCAAATTATGGCTGAACAGTACCCATTAAGTATTTATTGTAGAAAGAGTAAAAAAAACGGGACAGAAATACAAAATGGTTTACTTGGGAAAAGGTATACATAATTGGCTGGAATTATATACACGCTTCACTGCAACAGTATTTTTCCTTGTCAAACCTCATGCTTACATTTCCTTTTATGTTGGTTGTAGGATGTACAGTACATTTTCATTCCATCAAACGTACGAGACTACATCATGCTTCGGTCTGCCATATTGGGCAGTCAAGTCCCAGAGGGCTATGACAAGGGTGATATGTAAGTAATTCTGCTTGAACAATTCTTGTTCTTTTGCTTCATGGTTATGAACCACATACAACGTTATTTTTAATGTTTTTAAACTTCTGGTTCATAGTGAGGCAGCTCATTGGAAACTCTTTTGAAGAAAGATGTTCATACAGCCAATCTCTCTGTTAAAAATTAACAATTGATATTATCAAAACATTACATTTCTAATGCTGTTAGATTTATATCATATTGCTTCATGTAGCTATGGTTGTTCTTAACCATTAATAGCAACTACAAGTAGTATTGCTATTGTTGGGAGGCACTCCATCCAATCAGTCTTGTCAGGCAAAACTTGTTCCTCTTCTATAATATACTTTAAACATAGTCTGTCTACAGAGCAAAATTAATTTCTGAATCAGTTGTTCAAAAATTCAGTATGTTGAAATATTTTGCTTCATTCTGCATTTAAGTCAAATGATTTATTTATTTATTAGATTTTTATCTTGCCTTCAATACTTTATAACTAACACAAGACAGTGAATGTATATTCCTCCTCCTGTTTTCCCCACAACAACAATTCTTGTGAGGTGGTTAGGCTGAGAGAGAGTAACTAGCTCAAACTCAGCCAGCTGGCTTTCATGTTCCTAGTTTCTAAGCCACCACGTTAATCACTACACTAAACTATCTCTTAATTTAGGTGTTCTTGTTTGATTGTAATCTTTGTTCCTTCTAGTTCCCACTAGTGTTCAACCTTCAAAGTCCCATCCCATCAATTTTTTAAAAATAATTTAAAACAGCATTTTCCCACAGGAAGGATTCTTAAAAATTAATTCCAAATCTTATCTCAAATCCATCTGGACCCTTAGACCATTTGTAACTTTCCAAAGTCTAAATTCCAATCACTGTTTTGTTTATTTTAAAAAAAATTAAGTCCTTAAACTTTATATAAAACCTATTTTGCTAAGGATTGAAGAAAACTCATCAATTGTTTTCAGATTTCTCGATCCAAAGATTTCTAATAGTTGAAAAGCAGTTAACAAGCAATTTCCAAAAGTGATTCAAAAATATGCAAATTTGTTGTCCTTTTAAAGGCGCCAACTGTGGTTTGAATAAGATGACTATTCCCTCATCTCCCAACGCTCTAAGTTTGCCAGAGACTGCTGTCTTGCTGTCTTCTCACAAGGAGCAACTGTTGGGAACATTTGTGGGTGATCTTAAGTCCTCTCCTTATCCAGAGAGGAATTACAAAGGGCTGGTCTACTCGCTGGCTCTTCATTCCACTATGATCGTCAGCTCTGCTTTTAGCAGAACGTTCTTCAGTTTGACATTTCTTCCCCAGAAATCACCTGAAACAGATGGCTTGTACTTCTGTTTCCTTGGCTTGTCCCATTTCTAGAAGATTCTAAACAGTGATAAACACCCTGTTTCTAATACTGTTTATGTGACAACACACTCTCTCACTTTTGGCCATTGGATTGTGCATTCTCATCTGCATCTTGCATTATGTTCCTCTCCCTTTACAGAAATGTCCACTACATTAAAAAAAAAGCTTCCACCTACAAAGCAGATAAATCTGTGGGCAACCCAATACATTTCTTTAGATAGAATGTTTTCTGTATCACAGAGTCACATAACTGAAAGTGCATCACAGAGACTGTTGCTGGAATGGGTATCTCTGTCTCACATTTCCATAACAATAACACAACATATGCCTATGTTCATGCACAACTCCCCACATCCCTTATAAATCTTCCTCCTGTTGCTAGCACAATTTATAGAAAGGTGTGGTGCAAGAGGATACCTCTCTTTGCGTGCCATGCTATCCTCCCTCTTATGCCTCTCTCTTCAGCTGGAAAAAGTGTAATTATTGAAGATGGTGGCAAAAATCAGCTGAATCAAGAAGGCTTAGTATCCTGATGGGTCAGAGTGAAGGCCTCCATGGGCGGCATCAGAGGTCTCCTTTGACTTCTTGATACTAGGCTCCAAACCATGTGTCAAGCTTGAATAGTTGGAATCACATAGTTTTTGTGTTTGTTTTTTTAAATGGTGAACACATGTTGTTTCAGATCTTACTAAGAGTGCCATTGTTCGATTGCTCAATTTTCTTTCCGGTCATTGAATTGCTTAACCACAGCAGTGCTACTTCCTTTTGTTTCTTTCCACAGCCCTTGGAAATATTTTGGATCTGAGACATCTGCAGGGAAATTCAAGTTGCTGCACCCAGAATTCATTCATTATCTAAAAGAAAGGTGATGTTTCTGAGCTTTTTATTGCTGCAACAAAACTTGCAGTTAAGAGCAGTTGATTACTCACGGAGTAGCATTTATGTATGAATGGCAGCTGTCACGTTCCTTTTCACATAGCCAGGGCAGGGGCAAAGCTGAGAAAGGTATCTGAATATTTTGTTGACTGATGTGTACAACAACATAGAAGCAAACAGCAGCATAGAAGCATGTATTATATACCAGTTTGTCCTTTGGGCCTCCAATATTTGGGTTTTGTTCAAAACTCCTACTCTTTTTGATCTGGAAACCCTAATGATATTTAAAAGATTTTTGAGGAATAATACAAACATGAAAGCAGGAATTTGAAAACACCCCAGATCAGATTTTGTCAGTTTGGAAACCCAGCATGTCAGGGAGACATCTGAAGCCTTTCTATTTGCCAGATTCTTTATATGGAGACCAAGGAAAGATAACATTATCCCAATTTTCCCAGTGACATTTTCTGCTGAATTTGCCTCTTTCTGTTCCTAGGTTCTTAAAATCAGAAATTATTAATTCTCAATTTGGTCATCTCTACATACCCAGCACGGGAGCACTTATGCTTTTAACGGCTCTACATACTTGTGATCAGGTAATAGTTCCCATAGGGTCACCTTTTCCAATTTTTAGTAGCTCACGAACAGACAATGGAGATTTAAAACTACTGGTGACGGTGAATTTGTACCTTTTGAAAAACAGTGAAAAGAGGGAGGAATCAAACGACAGATCAAGATGCACAAAATATACTTGTATTCTTTGGAGGAAATGGGAAAGTTGCTTTTTTTTGTTTGTTATTCCAAACCATGTGGCATTTAGACATCTGCCTGATGCAGCTTTTGTTTCTCCAAGGGAATTCCTGGCCATGTAAGCTACCAGCATGAAAGACTGTATTTCTTGGTCCACGTCTGTCCCTTGCTCATCTTTACACTTCCTCTCCTTTGTTAGGTCAGTGCCTATGGATTCATCACAGAAAATTACAAGTTGTTTTCAGATCATTACTACGAGCAGGAGAAAAAGCCCCTGGTGTTCTACGCCAATCATGATATGTTACTAGAAGCCGGGCTATGGAAGAGCTTGCACCGAGTTGGCATCATGAAGCTCTATCAGCGATGAAGATAAGTAATTCTGTGGGGGAAAAAACAAAGGTGCATTTTCCCTTGACTCTCTTTGCGCAAGAGCATTTCTCATGAGGAGGAACCCTTTTTTTTTTTCCTCCAGAAATGAAACTGATCATCAGCACACTCCAAGCATACTGGACAGCCAAGGATTCTTAAGAATCGTTCCCACTGGATTTGGTAAAGACAGACTCATCTGCTGTTACAACGGTGTAGCCAGGAGATGCCGCAACGTTACTGCTGTACAGGAGAATCTCAAATACAGTTTCATTGTATTTATTATAGGCAAGTATTCTCCTAGGCTTGCATACATTATGCAGAGGTGGGCATCACTCCATTACCCTCCATTTAGGACACATCCATCTAATTGGTGCTGAGGACCATAGAACTGTGCTCACAAGTATCATTATACAGTCTAAATGCAGAAGGCCACAACTATCAGAACAGGATTCCTATTCACAAACTCTGCATGGCTTGCATCCAGAGAAAATGGCTTTATCGAAGATGAATAAGTTCCAGTAAAGTGAATACTATTCCGATACTATGGAATAGTTGTTTCTAGTAAGAAGGGATATTTTTGCCAGAATTTAAATCTGTCTTGGACTATATAGATCTCTCATCCACCCACACTCCACAAACTTGAACTCAGGGATCCTTTGAGGTGTACAAATGTTGGCCCACTTCTGTTTTCACAATCAGCTACAATGGTACTGAGTAATTCTTCCACCTCCAGTGGGAGAGATCAGCCTTCTAACTGGATGTTGTAAGGTTACTGAATGCTACAACATTCAAAATAAATCTGTGCTAAGGAAGTTGTGGGCAATACCTCTACAAATGTTTCAGTAGCCTGAATTTCTCTGAAGGAGAATTAGTGTTTGGGAAAAGGGATAGTTGTAGATGAAATGTTATGTGCAGAATACTAATAAATTCAAGTGTTCTTAAATGTATTTATATATAAAGTAGCAATAAATTTGAGGGTGTTACTGCTACTCAAATGATTTAGTTTTCTTTAAGGGGTGGAGAACACATGGTTTGACACCTATGGAATATCAAAAAGCAAAATAGCCCTCCAATGAATCAGTAGAAACAGCCAGTTTAATCTAATGATTAAGGCACCAAGGTAAAAACAGAAGGCTGTGAGCTCTAGTCCGACTTTAATCATGAAAGCCAGCTGGGTGACCTTGGGCCAGTCATTCTTTCAGCCCACAATATCAGACTCAGGCAACAAACTGGTCAATCAGTTCCCATCACAAGGTCCCTTCCAACTTTATTATTATTATTATTAACACTGAGTCACCTGGAAAAAAAAGTAGACCCTGCACTTGTGGGAAAACACTAGGAAGAAAACACAAACAGAAGAGGGATGAACAAGAGGCTAAAGGATCAGGAGGCAGAGTATTAAGGCAAAGCATGGGGGATTGTGGCACATGATTATTCTCACAATATAGCCTTTCAATTATCCTTTGCTCCAAACAACCTACTCCCCTTTTTAGATGGCAGCACAAGAGTAGGCCTACCTTAGTCAGTCTGGCCATATAACTAGCCATATCAGGTATTGTAAAGGAAGTTGGAAGTTTTCCTCTTTTCTGGTCTTTAATTTTTTTCCCTTTTGAGGTTGGCACCTATCTGCCCTTCAAGATAAATCAGACTAAAACATCCGTGTTAGGAATGCCCATGTTACTATTATTATAAGGTTACAATAGAACCTTGTAAGTCTGGATGTGCCTCCCCTCTCCCTTCCGTTACCTTAGATGAGAACCAGGGAAGAGTATGTCTGAAATGCTTTCTCCAATTATTTTTCTGCCCCAGACTCAAGATTTCATTTATCTGACTGGTCTTGGCTGTGGCTTTTTCTCGTATTCCTCAGTATTATTCCTACTGCCCATAAAGCACCACAAGTTCCAGAATATCACTCTTACTTGATTCCACTTCTTGCACCCGTAGGGGGTGAAAATAAGGTCTCTCTAGGACTCCATCTCAGATGGAAGTCTTTGAAAGCTCAGTAGCAACCCTCAAAAAGAGAGCTCACAATAGGAAGGAGCCGACTGACTAGTGGAGTTACTTTCCCAGAAGACCAGAGCTGATAGGGTCAGTTGGCTCGGTCAACTAGCTGAGATCTGGAATACTGTAAATGCAGCAGTTCCCAACCTTTTTGGCTCCACGGACTGCCAGCAGTAGTGGCAGCAGGGGGAATGGTTTCAGACATGTAATATGCTACCCATGTGCAATTGAAGCTTCACATGCTCCCCCGCCGCTGGCCCGGCCCATTCCCAACGGGGTGGGAGGTGGGGAACCCTTTGCTCACAATGCATTTAACCACCTTGTGAGAATTAAGCACGTTCTCTGCATAGAATTTGCTAACAAGATTAGGGTTTACGTTTTCTTCCGTATATTTTTGGCAGGGGTCGGGATTTTGCCTTTTGCCTGTAGTAGTATTCCTTGCCATGAAGTGGCAGTAAATACTGTTGCCAATTTCACACAATCTCAGTTGGAGCCCCAAGGTTGCCTAAGGGTGAATTGGGAGGCTGGGGTTGCAGATTGCCAACCATTGTGGTATAGTAACATCTGTAATCCTTCATTTGTTCCCATTGTTCTGAATCCAGTTATTCCAGTCCAATAATTCTAGAATGTTAAAGGATTTGTATAATTTATAATATAGGTAGGTCATGCTAGACCTGTGCCACTCCATTGCATCTCCTCCCTCCTTTTTGGAAGCAAATGGGGGGGGGGGTTGTTTGTTTTGTTTTGCTGTTGGCATCAGGGTCCTGTTTGGTTACTTTTTGTATAATTGTTATTGTATGTAGAATATTCAGAAGTGACCCTTTCCCTGCAATGTAGCACAGCACAATTTACAACTACAGGATGCTGGGACCAGATCTTGTTCTATGGTGCGTAGAACTGGCTGCAGATTCTGAATTCCAAACTTTTAAACTCTTACAGAAGAGAGTATGGAAACAATCTAGACTAATTTAAAGTTTCATGTTAGGGCTTTTGTTTTATATTTAACAAGAGGCTACCAGATGTATTTAAATTGCAAGTTGGCAGTAGTGGAGTCTTCAGCCCTTCATAGTGTTTTCCTTTAATGCTTTCTCTCTTCCCCTTTCCCTATTGGTATTTTAAATATTTCTAGAAAATTGGAATGACTCCTATTACATGCCCTCTTTATGTCAGGTTTGAACCTTTAATTGATTTCATAATGTGTCTTCTTCAGTTACTTCAACCCACATTGCTTTAATCAAAACTCTAGAGAAAAGTCATGTTTATATATGTCTAAGGCTCAAAGCCAACAGTATTTTTTACATCAGGAAGGCACAACTTTTTTTCTAGGATGAAGCTTAAAGGCCTTTGAATAACAAGCTGGAGGTGATCTCATCCAAACTAAGTGGAAATGGAATCCCTCCAAATTGGGCAAAGCCAAGATAATTCATTTAATTTTTTTCAAGCTTGCTTGCTTTACAGCTGCATTGAGACATGAAACAAAAAAATATTATTAAAAATTGACTTAAGCCTTACAATTTCCTATATGTAGTCATTTTCACTTGCTCTTAGGTTAAAAAATAAAATTTTAGTTGCTACTTACAGAAAAGTCTCGGAGACATCTGCCCACAGTTGCTGAAAAGCAGTGATGTCATAACAGAATTCATGGTAAGAAAGAGTCACCAAATAATTTATTTTAAAAATTCCCCAGCAAAATTGGAGAAGGGGGGAAAAAATCTAGCACTACTCAGATACACCCAAGCTATACAATGTCATCCCTCTGCCCTTTCCAAAGGTGCACACTTTGTTTCATAGGGTGCACCTTATCAATAAATGCAGTCGTATTAAATGAGCAAGAAAGCATTGCAAAGTGCTTGGGGGGGGGAAGTACCTAGAGTGGAGGAGTAACTCTAACTTTGGCCCACCTGGGCCAAAATTTCCTCTCAAGCTAATTAAACTAGATTCCAAAAAGCAACAGAAAGGGTAACCTTGCGAACACCACACACAACCTTGCAAATGCCTCATTAGTGTTTCTAAGATAATTAAGCGCAAATAGCAGACTCACGTCTTTGTTCTGCTGAAAAGTAATGGCTACTGACAGAGGGTTGCAGGGCACATAAGGGGAATAGATGGATGTAACCTGAAACATTTCCCCACTTCGTATAATTGCATAAATGTTGAATGATCTTTGTGCTTTTGTTTCTTTTCATGGGGTGGAGGGTGGGGGAGAAAGTAGAAAATGCTGTCCCTCTGACGGAATAAATTAAATCCAAAAGCAGGCCTAGCTGATGAAAAGGAGGAAAGCAGAAGAGAAGAAAAAATTGTTTTCTGCTCATTATTGTAAAAGGAATGAACAGACCCTACTCAGAAAAGACATTCAATCCTGTCCATTAGCTGTTTTCTGTGAGTTCTGCTGAGATACAAGGAAGCAAGCAATGAGCATTTTCAAGCCAGCAGAGAATACCACAGCCACTGTCCTCATTACAAGTACGAGCGTTTTCATGATAAGCTTGGCCTGGAAACACTCAGGCGTTAGAGACTGAGCCTTCAGCTTAGCTAGAATAGCAAACACATCCAGGGGCAATCCTTTTATGGAAGGCTGCACTGTAGAGTAAATGGTAACATCAACATAGCTAATGCCCAGTATGCTCCAGAATTCCATTGCAAAATAGGGTCCAGACTATTTCTGCCTGTTATGTACACTTAACATGGATGACAAAAATTGAGTAATTATTGAAAGAATGGACATCTCATACAATTATGTAAAACACTAAACAATGGGATGCCACATTAATGCATATGGCTACCTCATCTCCAGATCAGGGGTAGCACACCTCTTGAATCCTAATTATCTGAGAACATGAAGAGGCAGTGACAATAAAGCTTGAGTGCTTCCTTGATGGACCTGATTGGTAACAAACTACAGGACAAGAGGGGTCTTCTGTATAATTATTTAATGGCCTCCAGCTAGCTTAAAAGTCTTGAAACATTCTTTCTTCAACAGAGAAAAAGTCAGCCGTTTTAAAACCAACAAATATGGCTGAAATGTGTCCTGCTATATACTGATTATACCTGTCAATGTAAATAAAATTTTATTAAAACCTTCCCCCAAACTTTTTAATAAACATATTAAAACCTGAGGGTAAAGGTTGGTTCTCCGAGCTTGTGGGTTGGTTTCCAAATGCTTAGTTCCCAGGCCAGGTAACATCTCCAGTGACATTTAGGGCATATGTGTCAGTGCTCTTCTGTTTATAAAGGCTTCAGATGTGGATGTGTCAAGTGAAGGTCTTGTGATGGGTCAGGTGTGAGTCATCACAGGCTTGTGATGGGGAGGTTACATCAGGTCAGGTAAACTGAGGGGGAGGGGGACTTACATGGGTTGGTTGAGGGTCAGTGCTGATTCTAGTTGGCCGTGCGATTAATTTGAATTCTGAGGGGTTTGTAGACTGATTGTAGGTCAATGTGTCTGAGGGAACTGCTTGTGGAGTGCCAGGCTTCAATGAACACGAGCATGGCAGTGGTAGCGTGGTTGATGATTTTAGTGACGCTCCAATCAAATTGGTGGTGTTTGTGGAACGTTTTTTAATTGATGTGCTGTTTGTCTCACGTTATAGTTGACTTTATAGATTACATTGTTTCTTTCACCCTTCTGTGTCTTGTCTTTGGTTCTGGATAAATCCTGGTGTTATATGGCTGTGGGTTTGTGGACTATTCCTATTCCTACGGGTTGGAGAATTCTGGCTGTCATTTCCAACACCCCATGTGTGTATGGTAAAGCTAGTTTTTGCACGGCGGTTGGGTGTGTGGTGTGGTTTGGGTGCTGTGTATCAGAATTTGAAGTTTTTTGGATAGCAGAGAAAGACATCAAGTAGCCATTTCTCCTGGCCCTTCTGAAGAGGATCTGGACACAGTGGGGTGGTTGCTGGTCTGTTTGCATAGGTTTGCAGTAGATGCAGGTTGTTTAAAAGCTTATAGATCTGTTGATAATGATGTTATCCATTCAATCCATTCACTGATTCTTGGCAATTCTATGGGCCAGGTCTCTTCACCTCATCCAATCCTGTGCTGCTTCCTGGAGTTTTTTTTATGTTCTGGCTAGTGTCGGCCTTGATGGTATCCAGCCGATGCTTTTTGGTGGTCTGATTTCCTTTTACCTCTAATTCTTTCAAATATAGCTAGTTGTCACAACATTGACAACTACTTTCTCCAGTGAATTCCCCATGACATGGCCAAAATAAGTGAAACACAGTTTCGTGATTTTGCCTTCCACGTACATGTCTGGTCTTATCCGTTCCAAACTCATATTCACCGTGCTGTTTCTTTAAACCGGAACACTTTATACCTAAGCTGTGAGAAATTAAGGGGAAAAATACCGTTAACAATTTCCCTCCAACTATTCACATGAATTTCAATCGCCCACTTTTTGACAACAGAGAACATGGTACCAACTCAATGTGGCTGGATGCCCTACAACACTACCTAGCTACCCCTTGCTAACTGTATACAAATGCAAAGTGAGACTGCAGTCCTGGAATATAAAACCAAGGCAAGTGCTACTGATAAAATCTTGAAAGCCAGCAGTCTGGGTGGGGACAGACTTAGTACTCCCGTTTCTCTTTCATGTAATCTTGCAGATCGCAAAAGCTCATCATCTTCACTGGGTCCCCAAACCTCAGAATCACAAATTAACAGCCTACACTGAAGAAATGTTCAGCTGTATTCACTGGCATAATGCTTACATTTTTCTTTGTCTTGAAAAATGCCATGACATTTAAAACACCTACAGATAATGCAACAAAAGCAATGATGGTTCTTGCAAAATGTGTGTATCAAACATGGAATTTGCGTACAGAACATTTGCTGTGAAAATGTATACATTTAGGCACATACGTTGGGAAGCAGGCTTCTATACACCCATCCACCCACTTTTTCTAACACTCGATATGAAGCTTGAGGAAATGGCTTTTTGATTTTTCTGGGGGGGGGGGAAAGTGAGCATGCCTTCTTTTCTTATCATTTTATAAAGTAGGGAAGACATGGGACATTCTTAAAACAGTCCTTTTAAAAATACAAGAGAACACTCCTCTCTCTAGAAAATCCTAGGTAATTAACTTCATTCCTTACTTGTCTGCTTTTAGTTTCAAACTTTCCTTTTTAGAAGGGTAGAAAAGAAAGCTATGGGGACAGAAGGGCGTTCCACACCCTTTTTTCACTTGTTCACCATGGCTGTAAAAGTTCAGTAGGAAAAAACACATCAATAAAAGAATGTGAATCGCAAGGAATCAAATGTGTCTTGGTATATATCGCACCTGGTGATAGCAAACACCATCCTTGCAGTCCTGAACTCAGTAGTTCTGCTTTGGTTTTGAGAAAACTATGTTCTCTGACCAGATCATTTAATTCTGACGGTGGTATTAATATAGATGGGAAATATCATAAGAAACATATTTTAATTAACAGGAGTGATATTTTGAAAACATTAACTAATATTAAGCTTTAAGTAATATTAGGGCCTGGCTAAATGTAATAACCTGTGTCCTAATCCTATGAAGAAAACATTTTACAAGTGTCAATACCCGTGTAGGGCGGTGTGGTAAGATAATTGTATGAACTTCTCCTTTTTCTAGTGTGTGGCCTCAAGATAAAAACCTCTCCGTTTTAGTGTGTCAAAGGTAGATAAGAGTCATCCCAAGTGCAAGGCGTGGGTGACCAGCTGTATAAGAATAACCCCCTGGGAGTAACCCAGGGTTCAGAATTTGTCATGCGAATACTCTGAACCATTGTGCACAAATAAACCTGTCTTCTCCAACCCTTCGTGGTCTTGTCTTCTGATGTAAGTATCGTGGTTTTTCTACAACAGTATGAGATGAGGCACATCAAACATACCCAGTTCAAAATCTGGATCATTATCACTGTCTGCAGCATCTCCTTCTGTTTCATCTAAGCGTCATTTCTGGGGGGGGTTGGGGGGCTCAGTACTAGCAGATTGTTATCATGTTGCACCGGCCTCAGACTGGGGTAATCGACTCTCTCTCTCTGAGTCAAATGTCTGCCTAAATACTTCTTCTGGATATGTATGTGTACTCCCCTTGTATTACACCATGTTTTGCCTGTATACATGCATGGGGAAGAACAGAACTGGCAGCATGAATTTTGACCTTGATCATCTGACTGAGAGGGAGACCTAAACTGGAGGAAACTTGGTTTTGGAATGTTTTTCTCCACAGACCTTGCCCAGATTTGGCCCATTCCCAGTTTTTTCTGATGCTACTCTGACTGCCATTCCTAAAGTGATCCTGTCCTGTTTTGGAGTTATACAACTGACAGACCAAGCTTTGAAAGACCCTTTACAACAGGGGTGTGAAACTGGCAGCCTGCGGGCTGGATTGGTCACATGCAGGCCACGCCCATCCCAGGTCGGCAAAGGCAAAAAACCTCCCAATACGTCATGTGACATGATCAAGTTTGACACCTGTGCTTTACAACATTTATTTCCTATGTCCCATTAGGATGGAAATAATTACAAGGTAGGAAAAAGCACGGAGAGCTTCTATGGACAAGTAGTCCTCAACCTGCGACCACAATTGAGCCCAAAATTTATGCTGCTAAGTGAGACATTTGTTAAGTGAGTTTTGCCCCATTTTACTACTTTTATTGCCACATGTGTTAAGTGAATAACGGCAGTTGTTAAATTACACAGTTAAAAGAATCTAGTTTCCCCAGACTTTGTCAGGAGGTCACAAAAGGTGATCACATGACCCCAGAATGCTGCAACTGCCATAAATGTGAACCAGTTGCCAAATGTCTGAATTTTGATCCAAGTTACCATGCGGATGCTACAATGGTCCTGTGAAAAATGGTCATAAGTCATTTTTTTCAGTGTCATAATGTCAAAAGGTCACTAAGTGAACAGTTGTAAATCAAGGACTACCTGTAATCAAATAATGTGTGCACAAACAGATGCTCTGGGAAACATGTGTTCCACTCTCAGTCACATAACCAAGATGGGAAAGGCTTAGAATGGAAGAGTTGATAACATTCCAAGCTGCTGCTTCCAATGACTTCTTCCCTCAGGATGCATTTGGTTTTCTCCATAGCCCCTAGCTCAGGGGTAGGCAACCTTGGCTCTTTTATGACTCTTGGACTTCAACTTCCAGAATTCCTGAGCCAGCCATGCTGGCTCAGGAATTCTGGGAATTGAAGTCCATGAGTCATAAAAGAGCCAAGGTTGCCTACCCCTGCCCTAGCTGGACTGGATCTATTGTTAAACCCTATTTTCTTTTGCCTGCTACTTCCACAGACACCAAATTTGGCTTGGCTCTGGTTTTAGAGTTATTCTGCTACAAAGAGATAATTGCAGCCTTTCTTATTGAATTTAATGCCACATTTTCACTGATTTAGGTAGAAAGAAGGACCGTAAGCATAAATGTCTTCCTTTATTTCAATGACTGATAATGTACAATCATACGACACTTTTGCTGTGTTACCATCACATGCTAACCCATGAACCGGATTATTCAATTGTCTGAATTCTCATAAGACCTCAAAGTAGCCAACCACAATTTAGTGTAGTGAATCTTCGAAACCCAGTCCATGTTAAAAGTGCTACTCACATCCAGGTGTCTGTCCCATTCCCAGCAGGTGTACATGGAATTCTGCTTCCAGGAAAAGTTTCAGAGATGGCTGCTTTTGTTACCATCAAACGCTGACATTTTCCTAAAGGAAAAATACAATTACTGCATTTAAGTTGTAGCTAGCTCGTGAAGTCAATTTAATCATTTGCAAAGCAATTGCTACAAAAGACCACTCCATGGATAGCCTCAGCTGATGCGGATTTTCCTTCACTGTTGAATTTTCAGACAGGGATAACATCACATCACAGGCTTGAGTGAATGAGTGCCAACAGAACTGAAAAAGCAGTTTAAGATCCAGCTGGAGAAATAAGAACTCTTATGGGGCGCAGTGGTTAGAATGCAGTACCGCAGGCCAATTCTGCTGCCTACCGGCTGCAGCAGTTTAGCACTTTGGGTCTCACTGGCTCAAGGTTGACTAAGCCTTCCAAGGCCAGTACAATGAGGACCCAGATTGTTGGGGGCAATATGTTGACTCCATAAACCGTTTAGAGAGGGCTGTAAAGCACTGTGAAGTGGTATATAAGTCTAAGTGCTATTGCTATCTCAAAAAACTAAGGCAGTACAAATAAGTGAGGACATTTACCAACAGTACCTGAGATCAAGAACTTCGCTAAGTCATATGGTCGTAAAGCAGGATGTCACATGGCCACAGACTTAACAATAACCATTCCAGCAGTCCAGTTGCTGCTGTTAGGTGAATTCTCAGTTTCATGATTGCATTTCTGAACTCCTTCCAGCTTCCTCTCTTTGACTTTGCTTGTTGGAAGTGGCAGTGAAGGTTAAAAATGGTGATCATGTGCAAGTAGTATCATTAATTGCAAAGCCAGTTGCCAAATACCTGAATCACAATCACACACGATCATGCCGGCACTGGAATGGCTGCAACTATGTTCATGGGTTGTAAGTCCCACCCGTTCAGCACATCACTAACTTTAACAGTCACTGAACAAGTGGTTGTTAAATGAGGACTACCTGTATTTGCATGAGAGGGACCGGGAAATCTGAAAGCAGTTATGCCATTTGTTTTGTCACAATGCAATGTTTAAACCCAACTACTTGGTTTACAAATCATAAGGATTGTGTAAACTTACCACCACAATCTGATTTGATCAACTAACTTGATTAATACATGGCCCTGAACAAGCCGCCAGCAAGCTACCAATAATTCATCCAAGATCATCCAAGTTGTGGATGCTCCATCACTGGAAGCTTTTAAGTAGAGATTGGATATTCCATTGTCTGGAATGGTGTACGTCCCCTGCTTGAACAGGAGCTTGGACTAAAGACCTCTCTTCCAACTCTTATTCTTTGGGAGAAGTGCTGCCAACCTCTCCCCCTCCCCTTGTCCCTTCCTGGGCACAGAGAGAAGGAGGGAGGGAAGGAGGAAGGAAAGAAAAGGAAGAGAAGGAAAGGAAGAAAGAAAGGAGACAGGCAGGGAAGGAGGAAGGAAAGGAAGAAAGGAAAGAAAGAGAAAGAAGGAAAGGAAGAAAGGAGAGAAGGAAGGGAGGGAGGGAGGAGACTGGAATAAGAGGGAGGGTCTGAGGGAAGTCCTGCCTTAGCACTTGGCCACCAGCAGCCCTGTTGCCCTTTTGCCATCCCCTGGTGGTCTCCCATCCTATTGCTGAGGATGCTTTGGTTACAAAGCCAGGTTTCCTCGCATGGAGAGGGCCTCCCTCTGACCCATGCACTTTGTCCTCCTGCACCCACCATGAGCAACCTAGCCAAGGAGAGTGAGCACAGCAGCAGCAGCATTGAGGAGGAGGTAAGTGCAGCTAGGCAACCCCTCAGGGAAGTGCGGCTAACCTAGGCAGGGCTGTGGGTTACTGGTGCTGTGGGAGCTCAAGGGCTGGGCTGGGCGCTTGACCTCTGCTGCCCAGGGTTCTGGGCAGTCCATGCCACTGTCCAGGGGCCCCATGCATAGCCTGAGGCTCAGGCTCCTCCAGTGGACCATGCTCTGGCACTTGCCCCGGTCCCACCCAGGTGCTCCTGATGTGAGTGACATCGAGCTGGCCACGCCCATGCCAGCCCCACCCCACCCCCCCAATGGCAACCACAATGCTGATGCAGCCCTCAATGAAATTGAGTTTGACACCCCTGCTCAAGAGCATTCAAGAACACACATACCTTGGAATGTGGATCAGAAGAGATGCATTACTAACACCCTCTTCTCCAAAAAGGGATTTTCTTGGGATTAGAGCTTACAATGAAGATATGTGACATCTGCATCCCTGCCTGGGTTGACTCCTATGGCAAATAAAATTAACTTTACAACCTGAGGATTGATGTATTAGACATATTATCAGAGAAAGCTTTATATTTATATTTACTTTTAAATTTTCCAGGACTGAGCTTCAGATCCACAATTCCACAAAAAGAATAACCTTTCTCTTTTCAGACAGGGATAACTCTGTATCATCAATAGCTCAGTTCTTTATAACTTTGATGAAAGTTACTAAACCAACCCAAATCTGTCTTTTGAGCAGCAAACAAATCCTTATACTGATCCCTAGGGAAATTTTAAACATACCTTATGCATGCAAGGTGACAGTGAATTATGTCTTCCAATCTACAGAGACTTGAGATGTTTCCATGCTGTATTATGTGCTATAATGTTAGGAAAAAATTATATATTATTCATACTTGTGAATAGATACCCAAGACATGCTGGGGAACACAGGCCCTCTCAACGAGGCTTTTCCAAATTAACACCTTTCAGGTACATAAAAATTATGGAATTGCAGTCTTATCAGACAAGGTGGGAATCAGTTGATTTTCCAAATTACAGAAACAATTAAGTTTGCGTTTTACTAATAGAAAAGTCTATCCTCAATTTCGCTTTTAGAGACCAGTGGGCTACTAGAACCACGAACCAGGGCGACCACAAAGCAGCAGCAGGAAAGAGAATTTCGCCTTTGGCTACTGCCGTCTAATGATCGTCGGGATCTTTGCAGTCTAGATCTGTTACCCTGACCGCATCATGCATCTTCAGAAAACGCCCGCGTGCCCAAGTTTTCCGGCTACTAGAAACAAAACCTTAAAATAACAAAGCGGCAGACGGAGCAACTCAACCAATTCATCCCCTCTGCGTTCCCTCCCCATCGCCCATCCTTACGGGACAAGAACCTCGGCCCCGGCCCCGCACCCTCTCAGAAACAGACTCCACGAAGGATTACACTGGATCCCGCAAGACCCCAAGAGCTTACCCGCATTGCGAAGCACCTCAAAAGCAGTAGAAATCAAGTTACGCATGCGCAAAATGGATCGCTCTTTCCTCCGCGTGGGATGGAAGTCTCGCTTTCTCTCGCGCGACTCCATAAACTCCCGGGATGCACCTGGCTCGTTCAGTTACTAAGATTGTTCTGGGATGCGTTTCTTGCTAATAGTGCCCTTCAGTCGTCTGCAAACCTGGAAGGCAGACCTTGCAAAGTAGCTTGCTGCAGGAATATGGTTACTTCATTTTCGGCAGACATTTCTCTTTTTAGAGTAGGGCATGTTCTTTTAAGATTGACACGGTGGGTTTATGACTCATGGACTTCAACTCCCAGAATTCCTAAGAGAGTTGGTCCACGAGTTATAAAAGAGTCAAAGTTGCCTCGCCCTGGTTTAGGGGATGTCAGTATCAGTGTTCTGTTATATAAGGGCTTCAAGTGTGTCAAGTGAGGGTCTTGTGATGGGTCAGGTGTGAGCCATCACAAGACCCTCACTTGACACACCCACACCTGAAGCCCTTATAAACAGAAGAACACTAACATCCCCTAAACGCCACTGAAAATGTTACGTAGCCTGGTAATGAAACTTTTGGAAACCAACCCACAAGCTTGGAAAATGAACCTTCACCCTCAGTGCAAACGGGTATGGAACCTTCTTGGAACTGCTGAAAGGACTGTTGTGGAGCTGTGCTTTCTGCAGGATGTTTGCTGTCCTGTGTCTCTTCACTGTTGAAGACAGGCACAGGCTGTTGGGGATGAGTCTGTGTTGCCTCCATCTCAAACTGAAGTGTAAATGGTTCCTGGAGTCTGCAGTGTTTTCTGGAAATCCGTTCATATTCCTGCATCATTCAAAGGTGTTCATCCTAAAGTGCATAGTTAAATGTATATGGAGATTCTCAGTAATCCAGGTCATGGATGTCCCAAAGGTGCTTTTTCAAGAGGCAACTGGACTTTCTTGTTTTTATTTGAAGACATCGAAGAATGCAAATGAACAGTTATCCACAAGGAATATAAATCCTTCCATTCCCCACCATCCAGTCAGAACTGAAGAAGCTTGGATGAGAAGTGAAATGTCTTCAAAGAAAAACAAGAAAGTCCAATTGTCTCGTGAAACAGCACCTTTGGGACAGCCATGACCTGGATGACAGCATCTCCGTAGACCCCCACAAAGAACCTGGAGATATCATATAGCTTGTTTATTGTGACATCAACGTTTTTCTGGATTGTGGTTTATTTAATCCTGAAAGGCACTCTGCATTAGGATAAGATCCAAGCATATTTTTAAATGTTAATTTTACATTTTATATCCAGCATATTTTTCGGGATCTCAGAGCAGATTATTAAACACTTCTACCTCCCATTTTTTTCCTGATCTAAGTATGAACATGTCATGCATTCACATCTGAATTTGGGGAACATTTCTAATGATCCCTAGTGAGGAAATCATTTTTTTTCATAGCTGCGGCAAACTGGCTTGATATTTTCACAAGAATCCATGCAGTTCTCAAGGCCTCTATTTACTCTGATCTCAGCAGTTTACATGAATGTTAGGGTTGCCTTTCCACAATGCACATCACTTTTACACCTGCTTTGATAGAGCTATATTTTTAATTGTATTGCGCATTTTTCCACTCTAACAGATCTTTTGGAATTCTTTCTAACCCCTATTTTTAAATACCCTAAATAAGATGCAGTCATCAGCAAACTTAACCCATCTCAAACTTAAAATTCCAGATAGTTTATAAATATGTCCATAACTATTCTCAATGCAGATTCTTGAAAGGCTCTACTGTGTTTACAGCTTCCTTGCAAGAGTTGTCCATTTATTTCTATTTTCTGCTTCAAATTCTTTAAAGTGATCCAGTGGGGATGATCTCAATATCCAGGCAAGTTCACATGTAAATAGAGACAAAGTTGGAACGCAGTTGTGACTTAAAAGTTAAGATCTAGCTCTAACTGAGCCCTTTATTGTAAATAGGCTATTACCAGTATTATGTTTACAGAAGTCTCTCAGCAAGAGCGACCAATTCCAAAGTATATGAAATTTGGACACACGAGATGCATACAGTGAGGGACATTGATGTCCAAGTGTATTCTTGTAACATTCTTGAAGGCCAGAAAATAGATGGATTTGGGGACCTAGTTAAGTATTCAGGGTTTTTTTCCCCCTGAAAAACGTAGGTTGTACTATAGTTTTCATGTTGTTCCCTCCTAATTGCAGAACTGTCTTTCTTCTAGGCAGTTTTTGCCTGCCTCACCAAATTCCAGCAAAGAAGTCATGCCCTGGATGTGGGAGGATGTGTATGTTTTTAATCTTATAAACCACCCAGAGTCATTCCATCACAAATGAAAATTATTTGCCTGCTTATGTTGAAAAATAATACAATATTAAAATCCCATCAAGCAATCCCATCGAGAAATGCTAGTGGCACTGAGTGTGTCAATTTTAATTTTTAATATAGTAAATATTGATACGTATAACCCATAAAAACTTCTTTGAGGGTTGACCATAGTTTATAAACATGGGAAGAATCCTGAGGGAAAAACATGGCCATGGATTATTATTACTGAAGAATACTCACATTTTGCTGTTTGCATTTTGGAAACATTTTACCACTAGGGTGCACTGCTGCCATACTCAGATTTCTAATAGTTTCATTTTATTGGTTCTGATGGCTTTTGCATTATATCATAGAAATTAGCAGGTTTCTCCTGTTACAACATAAACCCCCAAATCAGTTATATATTTGTTTTTAAATAAAGCCACAGGCAGGATTCCTTAACAGCTCATTAGTATTTGCCAAATAGGAAAAAGCTAATAAATGTTGCATGTTGTATAACATACTGACATGGGTTTAGCATAATTATCTTCAAAATGCATATGCAAAAAAATTGAAGAACAATCTGTTTCACTTTATCTGACACTTATCTGACAATTATTTTGTGAATAACAAAACAGAAAATTCTCTACAAATGGGGACATGTACGAAGTAGTAATAGCATTAAGCATTTATCCCAAGATTTGGATTGAAATGTGATGGACAAAGGTAATTAAAGAATTTGTAAACAAAAAGAATCCAGTGATTTGGTTTGCAGTATCAGAAAAAGTGAAAAAAACATGATAGCTCCTTTGTGAAAAATGTGAAGCACTGTGAAAATTTGTACTGCCATAAAGTAAAGTTAATTAGCTATTTCGAAATCACAAACGAAAGAAAAATCCAAATAAAATTCTATAATTGAAAATAATGGGAGAGATACTGGCCATTCCTTTCACCCCATCTGTTTTGAAGACTTGGATAGCTCACTAGTATATATGGAAGGTTTATGTTTTCTGTAAGCACCTGTCTGCTTGTGGTGTGCATTTGTGGCTTCCATGAATTCAGAACTGGAAACGAACTTCACAAAAAAAATTCATAGTGGCACACTATGCTTAGGACAGCTCATACAAATACATTTCCCCTTAGAGTTAGTCTCCTGTGAATTCAGAGGGGAAAACAAATATCACCAATGTGTTCAGAGGCACTCTCTATGGTTAGGAGGCTCTTAACTTTTCCAGGCCCCCTTATTTTCGTTTCTTGGATAAATAAATAGGAACATTCTACTGGGATGGAAATCCACCTAGGGTTAGGACTGGGCTTCCATGAATTTGGAGTGGAAAACTAATATCAATAATAGAGTCAGAGAAACTCGGTTCTCTTAGGTTTATGTGTTTGTGTCTCTCTGTGTTGGCATATATATATCTCAGAAATGAAAATATAGCTGGTATTTTCCAACCGAGAGAAGATATCTCCTTAACATATTATTTTGTGTTTATACACAGAAAGACAAAGATAAGAAAAACATAGAAACTAGTATGGCATTTATAAATCTCCTGTAGTTTTGAAAATACCCTTCACATTCTCTTTTCTGCTCCTGATAGCTAGTCTGAATTCCTTGCACAGTGGCTGATACAGCTGCTGCTCCTCTTGAGGCCTGGATTTTCAATCACAAGCACTGCTCTGAATGCCGTTGGCATCTCACTGTCCTGATTTGCACTGTTTTTGTCTCTCCCATTTGTTCCCTATGGGCTCCTGTAGCCTAAGCAATGGAAATATTGCAGGAGCCAAAAACACTTCAGAGCTCACATTCATGGCAGCACGTTAAATTTCCCTTTCTTCCATGCATCTCCCATGCAGTGAGATCTGAATTGGAGCTTTGGTCACCTTTTGGTCACCGAATGCAAATCCTGTTCTCTTTTGTTGCTTTAGGGCAGGGGTAGGCAACCTTGGCTCTTTTATGACCTGTGGACTTCAACTTCCAGAATTCCTGAGCCAGCCATGCTGAGGGAAAAGGGAGAGGTTTCCAAGCTGAGCCATGCTGGCTCAGGAATTCTGGGAGTTGAAGTCCACAGGTCATAAAAGAGCCAAGGTTGCCTACCCCTGCTTTAGGGCAACGCAAAGCTGGGAAAGGTGCTGCACTTTGAACTCGCCCCTTGGAAGCTACTTTCTGAAGCAAGATGGCCCTGACTTTTAAAAGCAAAGGGGTTGCACTACTTTGCGTGGCTTCCTCTTGCTTCTGAGGCCTCCAGCAGAGGCTCCTGTGTTTGCACTGCACAAAGGCAGAAAACCTAACGGTTGTAATTGGTTGCTGAATGTGGAGACGTTTTGAATGACAAAAGTCATACATATCACATTGCCTCTATTTCTCAATGAATTGCCTAAAACCTTGCCCCCACCCTGTGGAATATCATTCCCTACAGGTGAAGCTGGCCCTAAGCCAGTGGTTCTCAACCTGTGGGTCGGGACCCCATTTGGGGTCGAACGACCATTTCACAGGGGTCGCCAAACAACGCAATCCACCATTCCCCCCCCCCTTTCCTTAGCTGTGCTACTCCCTTTTCTTCTATTGGCTTTTGAAAGCCAATAGAATAGACTCTCTTGAATAGAGTCTAATTCTATTGGCTTTCAAAAGCCAATAGGAATTGTCCAGGCTGTCTCTGCCCTGCTGAGCCTGCCAAAAGTCCCATTCTGCAAACGGTGCTGCACCAGTTGAGTAGTCCTTGACTTACGACCGGTTGAGTAGTCCTCGACTTACGACCGGTTG